TTTTGCAATGTAAGGAATTGTCTCATTTTTTCCCTAGGAGCTGAAGTAAGCATAATTATCAGCTTCTTTACCTAAAGCCTAATATTCCTGTGAATAGATAGTGAATGCATAAGTCCTCCAAGACCAATATGTATGAAACAGCCACTGGAGTTCTATTTGACCAGACCACATTATCCCTGCAACATTTTTCTTCTACCATTTTATCAGTCTTAAGGGATTTGTTCTGAAATATTATATTTTGGTAAGATATGGCTTCCTTTTCCATCAGGCTATATTGTTGGGTTTTTTTGTTTTGTTTTGGGTTTTTTAAAATTGAGCATTATAAAATTACATTTTGGAGTCTTACCAAGTGCTAATAGGTGGGTTTTGAGTAATTTCTTCTTACTGCAGTCCAGATGCATTTCTACTTATTTGTCTTTTACAGAGCAGGAAGTAACAATATGGATTTGATTTTTTTCTCCAAATTAACCATTTCTGAATGACGTACACTGAATACTACAGTGCAGTATTAAGATGATGAAATATGTAATGAGGAGAATATTTTCGTTAAGGGATGGGTTCTGCAATTTTTATGAGTAGCACTTTTTCACAAAAATTATCCTAATCCTATTGCAATCAGTGGCCTGATCTTTACTTTTAGTGAGTACTTAGAAATTCAGCCACTTATTCCCTCTAAAAAGAGATGGAGAGAAACAAATTTCAACTATATTTAGTAATATCATACTAACAAACTCATAAAACTCTTTAGAAATGCTACAGCATTCTAGAAAATCCTTGTGATCTCACTTTACTTCATACCATTATCTCTGTCTCTATTGATTAATCAAGAGAGAGCAATAGAAATTTGCTGCAAATAATTGACATCAAAAACAAATCTCCCCTCCCCCCGTTGGTAAATTACCAAGATCAGCAGGGCCGGTCCAAGGTTAGGTGGCACCCTAGGTGAAGTGTGTACCTCGGTGCCCCCAGCACTTCCAACATAGAGGAAAATAAGAAGTCTAGAATGAACTTGTACATGTACTTATTTGATATTCAAAATGAGCACTAAAACAATAACAACGAAACATTTTTATTGATTGTTTCACACTTTTCATTAACTCTAACACAATTATAACAGCTGGCCAGGGCTGTTATTTAGAATGATATTCCTGTTATTTTGTTCTGCATATAATTTTGGCGCCTCCCCCCAGATTTTGGCACCCTAGGTGACTGCCTAGTTTGCCTAATGGTTGGACCGGCCCTGAAGATCAGTCATGATTTCTACTGAGGATTACAAGCATGCTTGTATCTCATTTAAAGTATTTTATCTTCATGATTCATTACAAATACTGTGGCATACCCTTAGTCCCACCATAACATATCTGTTCCTTCTCTGGAAGACCTCTGGATTACCAGCAGGAAGAGTGTCTTTCTCATTTCTGTTAACCATGAGCAGGTTATGGCTTTTACAAATCCGTTCACTACTTATAATTAGTTGGGCCTTCTCTGTGAATCAAAGAGAGCTGTGACAATGCTTCTCCTGTTATATTTATTCACATTAGCATTTGCAATATTTTTGCTTTCCCTGAACATTCTTGTGAACAAGAGCATACATGAACTCATAAATAATTCATAAAGAGGTTCTGAATAGCAGTAAAGTACACTGATGGGTTTTTTTCATTTGAATAGTTAGAAAGATTCTTTTTGTTCTGTCTGCTTATCTCTAGATACAACTATACTGCCAACCTTCCTATCTTTTCACTGGAATCTCTTCTCCCTTTCAAATTCTTCGGCATACAACCTGTCCCGCCCTACTGCTTCTCTTCATTGCTCAAATGCAAAATATTCCATCAATGCAAACAATGGACTTCCACTGACATTAGCAATAAGTAAGTAGCAAAGCCAGATATGCCGGTTTCTTGGTTGTAGCCATGTTGGTCTAAATTGCCAGACTTTTAGCTTCTCTCATTCCTTGGAGTCTCAGACCAG